TTAAAAGGAGAATATATTTGATAACTCATGATGGATGCAGAAAACCCCCAACACAGCTCGTACAGGAAGCTATACTGGGATGATATGATTTTAAAATCGCATCTCTTCAAAAAATTACAGGCATCAGGTTAATGCATATTATTTTATTTTTTCTGTGATGAAACAACACAAATTAGTGTAACTCTCCTTCTTCACCCCCTTCCCCCTATGAAAAAAAGACAATAAGAAAAATACAAAATATAAGATGAAGCCTGTCATCTTGTAAGTTGATACACAATAAGTAGCTCAAACATGACATGTTGGCAAAATGAATGTCTGTCACGCACATTAAAGAGCGAGGAACTTGTGTTTGATGCCTTACAATACCATCAACTGCCTAAAACCTTTCAAAGCAAGATCAGTCATGCGTTTATGAAAAAAAATTGAGTGTTTGGGAACCCGTCATCTTTGGAGGGCCCTCCTAGCACCCCCACCACTTTGCGCACATTAGAAAATTACTTCCCAGCATAGTTTTGTCCATGGATCATAGTTATGTAAATGAAAATAGTTCATTTGTTTGCTAAAGATTGACCCCTCCCCCTCGCCAGCCCAACTCCCAATCTATAACTTTTCTTTTGGAGCTAATTTCCTTACCACACATACCTTGTCAATTTGCTAAAAGCTCTCCACATCAGCTGCACAAACTCCTACATGGACATCAACCACTGGGGGTGCTAGTGGTCCCTCATCTCTTGCGTATCCCAGCTGTCTATTCTACTGGTAAACTATGAAAAAATATGAAAAGTATTTGTTTAATTTTTCTGCATTTGTTCAAACAAGCCACTTCATCTCACGGTTGAATATCCCTTTAACTTATTAGCAAGCACATCATTATCTAAAGCAATTAAGAAGACCTTGCATAATTAAGTCTCAGTCTTGCAAACATGGGATGAAACAACCCAAATTAGTGCTAACTCCCCCCCCCCCCCCCACCTCACAACGTGACGGACATGTGCGCTATACCAGAAGCAACTACGGTAGTACTATTATTATAAGCAACCCCCCCCCCCCCCCAACAAAACAAAAAGCCTGTCATCCAAGGCAAAAGGTACACCTTAAGTAGCTCAACCACAACTTTGGTGGCAAAATGAAATTATCATGCACAATAAAGAGGGAGGAATTTGTAGTGGACGTCTTCCCATACCATCAGCTTTATCTTTGTCTTTAAAGCAAATTAATTAAGAGCAGGCATGCGTTTATGAGCATAAAACCAAGTGTATAAGAAGCCGCTCCAGCCTATGCTAGGTTGACCCCCCCCCCCCCCCCCCCCCCCCATCCATTAGTACCTCAACAACATGCTTAAAGCTCTCCACGTCAAACTCCTACTTAGACATCAGCCACTGGGAGTGCTAGTGATGGTCTTCTCAGCCGGCTATTCTACTGGTAAAACCGGGAAGAAACATGAAATGTATTTGCTTCATTTTTCTGCATTTGCTGAAATTAAGCCACTTCATCTCAATTCTCATGGTTGGATTTCCCTTTAAATTATTAGCAAGCACAAAATTGTTTATTCATTCAAGCATACCTGGCTTTACTATTCAAGTCTCAGTCTCGTATTTATAACATGAACATGGAAAGAGCTTACGAGGGGGTCATGTAACATTTAAATCTAGTACTAGGAGTACGTAAGTACTAATGTAGTAGATCTAGACTCTAGGCTCGCGCTCGAGCCTAGACTCAACTCCTACGTCGCAATTGCCATTTTATGATTTGGCATTGTCATATCAACATTGACATTGAATTTTAACCAAAATGTGCCCTTGGCTAATTGGGCCTTGCCTTGGAGGCTTGGGCTGGTACTGCTTAATCAGTTAACATAGTTAATGTAAAATTATTATTAATGATATCTCCCCTGCCCTGGCCGCGAATATTTTTTTTACACGCTAGTCTGGCCAGTTTCGCCGTAATACTAGTAAAAGTGCGCTGGAGGTAAAGCCTACATATAGGCATGCACTAGGCCTACCGCAGTTTAACTTGATTGCTCTCTAGCTGAACGTTCGGTCGTTCGTGTCTCAAGCTTAGATCAAGATTAATGTAAAGTTTCTAAATTAAATTAAAATAGATTAAGTTTTTGAATTCCATCGCCCAATGGCTGAGATGGCCGTCTCATTTAAAAGGGCCAGCTATGTCTTTATCTGATGATTGTCATGCACGATGTACATGTTGATCATCATGCTCCTCGCATGTAGGCTGCTAGACTAATATTAGTCGTTTCAATGGTGTTTATCATAGAAATGGCCAGGCTAGCGTGTAAAAAAAAATTGCGCGCCCTGGCCTGGGCTTCACTCTTCAGCGAATTCGCCTTGTGACTCGTGACATTGTTGTTACTGCATGTAACTGCTCCTGCACTTATACATGTTCAAGCTTATCTAAGATACTGTGTTACTTAATACTTAGTAGCACTCTGTTGATATAGTAGTAGTAGGCGAGTACTACGTACTACTAGATCTGCATACTAGTAGACCGACAATACAACTCACGCAGAAAACAGTGCGTGGGACTGTAATGACCTATCTCGCCATTTCGTAACTTGATATCCGTTTAGAATATGAGTTTGTTTATACTGCTACAGACGATATTATTGAACGATGCATAACATTGTTTTAAAATAAGTGAAAATAATTACCTAGGGCTGTCAGATTCCTCTAACAATTCCGCCAGAAGCACCGGCATCTGTGACAAAGGCTTCGCGGAGCCGGTTCGTGTACGATTATCAATAGCAGACTACATTTGCGCGTAAGAGGCCACTTCGTGAAAACGGTGTTTGCCAGTTGTACCGCCTGTGATACGTTTCGTGACGTCACGTATGACGTAATTAAGCAAGATTAGACTTTGAAAATTACTGAAGTTGTAGACATTTATATACATTGCTCAAAAACGGTCAAAACTCGAAATTAAAAATTTCAACGATTTTGGCCACTGAGGCCACTTCGTGAAAACGGTGACGACATAAATGGGGAACTAAAGTGGATCGAGACCTGAAACAATATCTGTTAAAATTCTGTGGAGAAAAAAAGAAACTTTGAAACCATTAATTTGACCTGCACGCATAGCAATTTACGAGGTGGAGAGTACTGTAGAGTTCAGTTACACAAATCGGTTATGGGGTAGTTGTTAATGACCGTAGATGGTGCTATTCAGTTCTTATCAAGCCACAGATTGACTTGTCGTCGGTTTCTGAGGAATACTGTCAGTATACTGACTCTTTAAATTATTATAACAAAACCGTGACTTATTTTATTCTTTATCATGCAACTGCTTATTGCACTTGCACTACACCCACTTGATCACCCAGTTTTCCCAAGAGAGTTATGTCGCCATTATTTTTGTATGAGGCCGCCATCCATCTCCAGCCTTACCGCTCACGATGGTGGTCTCCTGCGTTCTAAATGACGAGATATGAATCTACATTTGCCACTCTCCATCCAGGTGAAGTAACTGGGTACCCGTTAGGAAGGGATTTCTTGAATACCTGGACGCCTTATCGTGGTAGCTCGGCTAAAGCCGGGGTAATAACTAGTATGATTGAAGTGAGAACAGTATTAATAATACGGATAAGGCTTCCCATGGAAAACAAGACCTATTAGTATTATATCGGATTTTAAATTATATGTTTTTAAACTTTTAATATCTCATTTCAATAATTTGCTGTAATATGGTAAGTGATAAGGACGATGATGATGATGATAGCTGTGAATAATAGCAATGAAACCATTTAAAATACCTCAGAACATGAAAGCAAACGTATGCCAATATGACTACGATCATTTTTATCTAAAAGAAACACACAATTTAAACAATTACTTCCTTAAATAAAATCGCATGTATGGGTTTATTAGCAAATGTTATACTGTGCACGGTATTGTCAAGACTTATACATATGAACGATTAAAACATCCCGGCAAAGACATTCATAACAATAGGCGAGCATACTACATCCAAAACACGTCGAATTCTAATTCAATAACAGAGCTACAAAATAATTTAACTCTTTACTTTTCACTATTACGATGAAAACAAAAAGGAAGCTGATTGTATACTTGCATCAAGTATAATACTGGTTAATTTGATCGTAGTTTTCATATACACGTACTTGGCAGTTCGGGGGAAGCAAACTGGTTCATATATTTCAAAGATTCATTAGGAATTTAGGAGTCAAATCACTTCGTTTCATCATTTATTTAGATTGATTTGATATTCCGCATATATACAAGCGCACCATTTTTGGATGAGGAGTAAACATTGTCTAGGATTATATATGGCTTATTCAATTTGCCTTTGCTTTGTTTTGACAGCGAAGCAGCATCCAATTGAATACATCATTCTATGCTACGGTCCTCCCACATTACAATCAAAAACACAAAACCCTGTAGCATTTAGAATACCAACAAAATACACTGAATAACTGGGCATGCTTTCTACCATTCATAGAATGTAGTAATGTACGTCATTAATTGAACTTGATACGATACACGGTTAGACATGATTATGCAGCCAACCCTTCGACGCGAATTGGTGAGGAAGGCGAGTGGATGATTAGTTGAATGAAATTAAAGAGAAAGTTGAGTTCTGGGAAGAGGTGAAAAATAATTTGTGAGCGTAATCATTCTTATGATGCAAGTGTGGAAGAACATCAGATAAGACATGTTCCCTGAAAAGCATGGCTCTTCAAATGCCTTCATATTCTAAATATGTCATGTAACATCGTAAAACTCGGAGGTAGGATTTTTACGCCACGTGTTCGTGTAGTCCCATATACATCTTTCTGTGTACAGTGTTTGTAACTTTACCAAACCTTGGCCGAATTTCTTATCATTTTGATGATTCCAGAACCTTGCAATACACACAAATTCTTATATGCTAGATGATCAACCTTTCCTGGTCGATTTCACACCGTTTCTTTTAAAATGCAATCGCATGACCAGAACTCAACTTCATCTTTAAGTCTAATCAACTTTTTCTACTTCTTTTTGGTACGGCCTTTACGAAATGCACCCCTGTTGACTTAAACGAGACATCTCAGTAGACTAACGGCTCACGAGACCAACAGTCCATAAGACCGGCGTGCGACGACACACCAGACCAACAATGTCGTTCTCGTAATCCCTAAGTATAAGTGTCAGAAGGCCTTTGAGACCGGCATGTCGGACTCGAAGGCAGTGAGTCTTATTGGCCATTGATCTCCTGAACCCTCGGATAACTTTTCAGAGATCCACGAGACCGACAGTTCATTAGACCGATGGCACACTACACCAACAGTGACAGCCTCGTGAACCCTCAAGAAATAGTCAGAAGGCCTACGAGATCAACAGGGTCAGCCTCTAGGGCTGTCCGTCTTGTAGGCCACCGGTCTTATGAACCCTCATAACATTAATAAGAAGACATACGATACCGATATACAATACAATGTCTCATACAATATCGACCTTAAACCCGCATTGAACAGGTAAAAACTTTTGTTCACCTTTAGCAGGTCATCTGTAGGTGTTTGAATTAAAATGTCAAACCTCAAGGGTATTCAAATTAGGTTTCATCTTTCTCTTATGAGGAGACTACATTATCTCTATCTGCCTCTCTGCTCTAGAATAAATTGGCTACATAAATATAAGAGAATTGCACACAACAGGCATTAACAATATTGCCACAAAGAATACAAATTTTGAATGCATTATAGAATAGCTGCTTATCAGCAAGCGGGTACAATCCTCATAAAAGTGAGGACTACTTTCTAATACTCCTCGATTTCAGCCTCTTCTTCTTCACCATCGTTTGAGTCGACTCCGACTTCTTCGTAATCCTTCTCGAGGGCAGCCAAATCCTCACGAGCTTCGGCAAATTCTCCTTCCTCCATACCCTCTCCGACGTACCAATGGACGAAAGCACGCTTGGCGTACATCAGATCGAACTTGTGGTCGAGACGAGCCCAGGCCTCGGCGATCGCGGTAGTGTTGCTCAACATGCAGACGGCACGCTGAACCTTGGCAAGATCACCACCAGGGACGACGGTGGGCGGTTGGTAGTTTATACCGACCTTGAAGCCAGTTGGACACCAGTCCACGAACTGGATGGAACGTTTGGTCTTGATAGTAGCGATTGCGGCGTTGACATCTTTAGGGACGACATCACCACGGAACAGGAGACAGCAGGCCATGTACTTGCCGTGACGGGGATCGCACTTCACCATCTGGTTGGCGGGCTCGAAGCAGGAGTTAGTGATTTCAGCAACAGTCAGCTGTTCGTGGTAGGCCTTCTCAGCAGATATGACTGGGGCGTAGGTGGCCAGGGGGAAATGGATACGTGGGTAGGGCACCAAGTTGGTCTGGAACTCTGTCAGATCGACGTTGAGGGCGCCGTCGAATCTCAGAGAAGCCGTGATGGATGAGACGATCTGGCTGATCAACCTGTTGAGGTTGGTGTAGGTGGGACGCTCGATATCGAGGTTACGACGACAGATATCGTAGATGGCCTCGTTGTCGACCATGAAAGCGCAATCGGAATGTTCAAGTGTTGTGTGAGTAGTCAGGATGGAATTGTAGGGCTCCACAACCGCGGTGGAAACCTGAGGTGCCGGGTAGATGGCGAATTCGAGCTTGGACTTCTTTCCGTAATCGACGGAGAGACGCTCCATGAGCAGGGAGGTGAAGCCAGAGCCGGTGCCGCCACCGAAGCTGTGGAATACCAGGAAACCTTGAAGGCCTGTGCATTGGTCAGCCTAGACGGTGTGGATGAGAATTAAAAATGTAAAAAGTCACGTATTACAACATTTTCTATGAAAGAATCCCAGTTTTCAAAAAGACGAAAGCTCTCTTTTGCACGTTCATTTCTCCTTTGCCATGGTTGTCATCGAAATCTTTTCATGGTTTTCTGTTTTAAAAAAACAACATATACTGATCTGACTTCTTCAAAATTTTCTCACCAGTTTCCTAATCTTGTCCAAGACTTGATCAACAAGTTCCTTGCCGACGGTGTAGTGACCACGGGCGTAGTTGTTGGCAGCATCCTCCTTGCCGGTGATCAGCTGCTCAGGATGGAAGAGCTGGCGGTATACACCGGTGCGGACCTCATCTGCAAGATTAAAGGCACAAATTTTGTAAATTGCTATAGGTAGGTGTTTGATCCTGTTTGTCAATTGGGCATGTTGTAAAGGTGGTAAATTCATTTGCTACATACATGTAAGTATGGAGGCGTTAATTCAACCATTACGATTCAAAAGGATCATCAAGACCTTAGTGTAACCTAATGTAACATATTATCTGTCTGGGTGAAGCAGGGGTATGTTTTAAATCATTTTTGCAAAGTTTATTAAATTGATCTACAAATCGTAATCTTGAAGTGCAAGCTCAAGACTCACACCTTAGCGTCATAACAAGTTTAAGATATCTTACCGACTACGGTTGGCTCGAGATCGACGAAGACGGCACGGGGAACATGCTTGCCAGCTCCAGTCTCACTGAAGAAGGTGCTGAAGGAGTCATCACCACCTCCGATGGTGCTATCAGCAGGCATGTTACCATCAGGCTGGATGCCGTGCTCCAGGCAGTACAACTCCCAACAGGCATTACCGATCTGGACTCCGGCTTGGCCGACGTGGACTGAGATGCATTCACGCTGTTATACATGAGAAATAAAAGAGAAGAAGTTAGTGAGCATTATTACTGTATCAATGTACTGCTAGTAAAGTACTTATGAATAGGCTTATCGCATCGCCGAGGTAGGGGTATAATACATTTTTTGTTCATGTGGAAAAAAGGGAACAAGAACGAAGTGGGGTACGCCGCGCGCGCCAATAATGAAATGAGAACACACTTTCTCCAGTAAAGAAGATAAGCCATTTTAGCCACTGGTCCCATGTTAATTCCAGCAATTACCAGGGCAAGTATACTCCCGCGAAAACTAACTTGGAAATCTAGCTCCGTAAACCCCCGTAGGACAAATATCACCGGGCAACGTATACTCCGAATGGCCCCAGACAATATACCCCTAGCGTATGGTTGTCCACGAGGTTTCGAAGGTTTAATTATCGTACCTTGAAGTTTTCCGCGGAGGTATTATTTGTTCGGGAATAATTTTCTTAGGTGACTGCCCTCAGTCTTTTCTTACGAGGGGTAGTTGTCTGGGGGGGGGGGGGGTTGTATGGAGAGGAATACTCTATAATTCTATCAAATAGTCTCATACAATGCACCACTTTGAATTATCCCTGATGTAAGCATACATTATTGAACAGTTTTCGTACATAGGCGGATCAACACTGAGTCACGTGATGGTCTGAACTCCTTTTTTCTAATCAAGTGCCGAGCTTATACCCCAGTCAGACCAACAAGACGTATACCAGACCGACATCGGACCTAATACATTTACACATTTACCCGGATAACCAAGAATCGGTCGGTTGGAGTCGATTCGGAGGTGAAACTGAGGCATGGTAATTATTGGTAAACTAATGGTTGAGATCAGTTACTGTTGTACTTGTGTTATTACTTTTAATAAACGTGTTAAAGCACTGGGGACCAAACATTGCAATGAGTAGTATTGAACAGCTACATCAGATGATCCCCTTTGATGATCTCGAAGTTTTATAAGAACGGGATGACATCATCTCCGAAATCACAATCGCGTGCATCACATTCATCCATTAACCATAATGCATTTTGCCCGCGACTGGATCTCAATGTATATGCAAGCACATTGTCCATGCTAATGACATCATTACTGGTTCTAATTTCGATTGCTCATTCACAGTGAACAGTGAACAGGGCATCATGATTGAAAGCTTATATTAGCCAAATTATTTCGATGCAATTAAATATATCGGGGGGGGGGGGCAAATGTAACGGGGAGTATCAATCATACGTCCCTATATACGCCGCTACCTTCGAATGATGATTACCGTTACAGCAGATGTCCCCAAATTAGATGACGGTTTATTATTGATTTATAGCCTTGACTGTGTGATTTGTAACTGAACGGACTAATAGTAATATTTGGAGGAAAAAATGCAATTATTCACAATTGAACAAACTGATGTTTGATAGAATAAATAATCAAAAAGTGTTTTCAATTACATATATACATGTAATTCCAATCGTAAGTATTTCATGCAGGGGATATCATTCACAAATTACAAGAGCATATTAAACAAAATTATCAAGAGAATAATGAATAATTATTTGTGGAACAACAACAATTCGGGTTCATACAATAACGGAATGGAATACACAAAAGGGGGAAATGAAATTATCCTTTGTCAAAACTCTTAGAGATAATCATTTGTCACGCCATCGTCTTAAGCTATCGTCCAAAAATACCCAGGAAACAAATATACGGAGAGCTGGCAAAAAATGCACAGCTCGTTTCTAAAATTACCCAAATAAAAGACAAACTGACAAAATTGGAGGGCGATGTCCAGCTACATGCGCATGATGCACGTAGCATCTTCCTCGTTCGTTTTGCTTCACGAGGAGTGGCAGGCATAGAGAGATGGGAGATCCTAGCCGAATAACTTAACGACTATGAGTCATCCGAATAATTCCCTCGTTTTGATCAGATGGAGGGATAGAGGGTGATTTGAGGCGCCACCCAGTACACGGTGTTCCATGAAAATAACGGTGTTTGGGTATAAGGTCAGCAGTGCAACAAAGTTATCGGTTAATCAAGAGTAGATAAAAACACATAATTTATACAGAGAGGGAGAGAGATAGAGAGAGAGAGAGGGAGAGAGAGAAAAAAAAACTGGAGAGAGGGAGGGAGAGAGGGAGAGAGAGAGAGGGAGAGAGAGAGAGAGAGAATAAGGTACCAGGGGAGAAGAGTCGGAGGAATGGGAAAGAGTTTTAGAACAGAGATGGAAAGAGGGGTAGGAGACATGGGGAAGGGCAATTAAGTATTAAGTAAGTAAGTAGAAATAAAGACATACATCTAAAGGAGAGAAAGAGCGGAATAGTGGCTGATGACAAGAAAGCAACGAATTAAAGGTAGAGTAACAGAGAAACAGGGAGAGTGAGAGAAACATGGAATGAGAGAGAGAGAGAGAGAGAGAGAGAGAGAGAAAGGGAGGGAGAGAGAGAGAGATGGAGAGAGAGAGAGAGAGAGAGGAGGAGGAGAGAGAGAGAGAGAAAGGGAGGGAGAGAGAGAGATAGAGAGAGAGAGAGAGAGAGAGAGAGAGGGGGAGAGAGAGAGAGTGGGAGAGAGAGAGGGAGAGAGAGAGAGTGGGAGAGAGGGAGAGAGAGAGAGAGAGAGAGAGAGAAGAGAATGAGAGAAGTGACAGGGAGAGCAGCGATCAGGATATAGGAAGAGAGAAAGAGACAGAGAGAGAGCTATTGGTAGACCGCCCCCATACAGTAATGATAATAATTTTGAAAAATACATTAACAAAAGTAAAGGATTGTATGATGTAAAGAAACCAACAAAACAAAAAAAATAATACACATGATAATGCAATTGCAATATACGAAAAAATCTGTCAGACCAATAAACGTCGGTCAGTCGATGATGTATTTTATTTCCGCCATGATTACGACAAGATTCACTATTTGATAATTGTGATGATTTTGTTTCATTATAAGGCATTTCATTAGCTACTACTGTATATACACGTATCCCAAGTCCCTGATATAATGTAGTACATCAAAGGCAAAATGTTTCCTCTTGACGCATAATGTCAGGCACTATTTTCTGTCCCTTTTTTTATGACACACCGTGTTATCCTCCGAAAGCAAATCAGATGGCGGCAACAAAATTCCTCTCCTTGCGCGATGCAGGGCGAGTTCATGATGGTCGTCTGCATGCATAATACATAAGGAACACGGCTTGCCCTGCTAGCACCTTAGCAGCATAAACAGAGGCCTCGCAGACAAGAAGTTTCAAAGAAAGGGCTCCTTTAGGAAGGAGTCAGGGGGGGGGGGGGGGCGCTAATGTTATCGCCAAAATGTATCCATCGTACTGAATTACCGAGAGTTCCTCTTCATCATAAGACTCTGCTTTTTTTGTATCTATTGTATTAGACGGTGACAATTGCCCCCCCCCCCCCCACTGAAGTTCTTTAAATTATCCGTGTTAAATTTAATAATGACTTGCACTTCATTTGAAATACAAATATAAGCCAATTATCACTGCATGCTCTTGAAAATCAATAGATTTTCATTCAAACTTTCATTATTATTATTTATTTTGGTGGGTGAGTTTGCCTGTCAGGGTTTGTGAGTCGTGCCCCAGGCCTTCACTTTTACAGCATCCCAAATTATAATTTGTTTGTTTTGCGTACATGTTTAATGGGTGGGATTCTAAGTCCTATGATTTTGAATGCCAAAATTGAACTTTTTTTTTCTTCTGCATATGCGGATTCTGGGAACTTGTAAAAGAGAATGGCCAGGGGCACAATTAATAAATCCTAGCAAGCAACAACAACGACAAAAAATATTTACAAACTAAGAAATGACATGTTGTAGATGCAAATTCATCGCCAAATATATTCCAGCAAGCAAAAAAACAAACAGAAGGAAAAAAAAACACTACAAAGTAGGGGGTATGTTCCTTGAACCCCGGGCTGAATTTCATTTTAAAAGGGATTTACGTATACATTGCGCCCTTTGCATTCGCCATTGTATTAGGTATACGCCTGGTAATAGATATACCCCAAAGAAAAGGTTTTATTTGTTGGGATGGGGGGGGGGGGAGATGTCCCACTTCTTCTTCGATCCTTTCATAATTTTAACCCCAAATTTTTCCAAATGTTTTGTTTTTTCGTTAGAAGAGATTTTTGGGGTAGAGTAGAACTTTATTTTAAGGAAATTGAGCCCCCCCCCTTTTTTTTTCTTCTTTAAAAAAAAATCAAAAATCCTTGATCAGCCCACTGATTAACTGCATATAATATAAACGCAAAGTATAATCCAAGAACAACGTTATCAAATGAAAAGCAACTTAGGCTCTTAAACTTCTGCCAAAAGATTAGAACTGAAATCGCATTTTCCACAACGTTAACAGTTTTACCGAAAATTTATGATGGACGTTTCATTTTTGAGAAGTGACGTTGCACGGTCTCCTTGATTCGGCCTCGTACTGTGACTTATGAAACGGTCCTTGATTTTATGCATCTTCCGCATCGCCGCATTGCCTCTCTAAATTACGTCATGATCTATTTATAGCACATAACAGCAACGCATTTTGATATACAGCTGATGATTATGATGATGAATAGAAATGGCAGGCCAGCAACACTTGCATATCAAGGTAGTCGATAAAGAAATGAATAAGATTATGATATTTAGTACTGAATTAACTGATTACATGTTTAAATCGCATAAAACGTCATGGATAACAATGATCTATATGGGACACACCCGAACACAAAACACAGAATATATACCGCATCATTTGACTTCTTGTTTCTATTGAAAAGCTTACTGTAACAGATGCTCTCTCTTATTCATCCTATAGTATGATCTCAAGACACTCACCATTATGATAAGATTTGAGGAGAAAAGAAAAGATGATGATGATGATAATGATGATGACACTCGATGAGATGACGTGCTCACGAGAAGGGCATCGAAAAGAGGAAGAGGAGGAGGACAAAGCAAAGAATAATCGCTTCTCAAAAATAACGATATAAAATACACCGAGATAAAAACCACTGAGACAGAACAGCTAGGAAAATATCACAATTGAGGCAATGAAAATGGCAGATTTTGGTGTCCGATTTCGGGCAAATGACAAAAGATTCGTCGCGGAAGAAGGAGAGAAAACGAGCTAGCACTGGAACGATGAAGCGAAGTCGCGTATTGTGATGTCAGAGTCTCAAGAAATCAACATCGACGCATTCTCCTTGCATGCGTTGCGTGTACAAAGCTGATACCTCCCTTCCCGTTCTCCCTCGTGCTCTCTTACCCTCTAATCTGCTCTCTGCGTGAAGATCTTTTGTACCTAATTTACATTATTTATCCAATTCAAACCTTGCCAGCCTGCTTCTCTCATTTCCTTGGAACCCTAGGCATTAGTAGCTGCTGCCTGCGTTATTCATAATTTAGGGAGAGTTAGTAGTGAGTAGTACCAAAGAGATACTACAGTTAATCTCTTTGGTAGTATTGATAACGATAGAAAGATGCGTTTGAAAGGAAAGAGAAATGTATTGCTTTTTGCTCTCGATTAGCGGAAAGATTGCATCTTGAAGTAAATTAATGGATTAATTCTCTGAATAAAATATTGCTTAGCTTCCAAGAGATGTCTAAATTAGAGCATAATTCGTCCCTTTTTTCACGAAGTAACGGTAATGAGGAAAATCGCGAATAAGTAGTTGGTAAATGCCTTTGTGACAGAGGCTTATAAGTTAAAGGTGAAATTCAAAGAAGATCACAAATATGTCAACTAATGTATTACTAGAAATTGGTAAGCTAACAGATGGCCATCGGACAAGTTTTAGGTCAACTACATATCAGGTGGTTTATAAAAATACAAATATAACCACCTCCACAGCAGCTGGGATATACGAGAGATTCGCCGGAAAAATAACGATGTTTTAATGACGTCACTATATGGACCAACACTGCCCAAGCAGACGACATCCCATAGAGAATGAACATAATTGCAAAGCTATTATTTCTCAAATTATAATGAGTTTAGTGTTTATGAATGTAATGACATGTCAAACCATTCAAAAGGGGATATGACCCGATTCTGATAACTAAAATCTTTTGCTTGGATAGAGGTTAATTAACAATTAAAAAAACCAGACTTTCAAATTGAAAACCCCCCGGAATGATATTAAGGACGGCATTTGTTCCCTCTTGAAACGCCGAACACACCTCGGTGTGTGCAGCTGAATATACAATGGCGTCTTATTTTGTTTACAAGCGACAGATTCCTTTATTTTTGTATCGCTGCATTTGTCATCAAAATAAAACCATGCGTGGGGTTTAGAGTGAGGCAATAGATTATACCTTTAGCCTGACGGTAGTGAAGTAAGAGAAAGAACTCAAAAGAAGATGAAAACACAGGCACTGAAAATGTTTTAGATGTCATGGGACATCGTCTGCTTGTGCAAGTCATGTCTATCCTGTGATCTCACACATCTCAGCAGCGTTCTGAGAGCTATTCAGGTGCTATGCCGGGGCTGTCTTTAAGCGTTTTGTAATTTATAATAATCATTACTTAGAATGTTTCAAAGCATTGAATTTTGATAACCTTGTCGAATCAAAGTTTCAACTTTGCAATAATGAAAATAAAGTTAGTTTTCAAAATCAATGAATATGTCCTTTTAGAATAAGAACGAAGTTTTACTTTTAACGAAAGTTAGACTTAGAGTGTAGACCCTACTTTTGTTTTAGTTTTAGTTTTACTTGTATTTTTAGTATTAGTAGTTTAGCTAATTGTACATTTCATTTATAGTCTATAACTCTAGATCATCATTTCATAATTATCAATTTATGTCAGCCACTAGTCAGTAATCTAGAGGTGAGTAGGTCAGGATCTAGACAAAACTGAGTCACTGTGACTTTACTTGTAAAGGTGTGCTTGGGGTGTAAGCAGCTTCATGGCTCCAAGCCCAAGGCCAACAACATGTCCAAGGGCAAGGGGAGTAATGAAAATAACATGCTGAGCTGAGATGGCATGGGATATGTAGACCCTCCTGTTTAACTGATAGGGAATTCACTGAGTTGCCTTTTAAGTAAATAGTAAATAGAGTGTATAGAGTCAAGTCTTGATCATCTTGTATGACAAGTACCAAGCACACTCACTGTATATGTGCATTGGGGTGGTAGTTGTTTGGTAGGGGCAATTGAAAACGTCTGCTTGGGTCAGTTATGCCTAGTGATTACAAAAGATAATATTAGATGTATATAAGGAAAATAACTTGTACTGTATGTCGTAAAGATACGACATGATAATTCATGGAACTAAAATCCAAAACTCTAATATGCATTACTGACTTCTAAATATGAGGAAGGTATACCTGATAAATAGCTAGTTCACATTTAATGGTTTTATTTTTACTTCTCTAGTTATTGTTATCATAATTGTATTTGGTATTTCAAACTATCCTATACTCATACAATATAATGTTGCTGTTTTGAATTTATCTGTATGATGAGAAATGAAATTGTTTAGTCAAAATGATATTTCCCTGTTTATCATACATTGTTAAGCTGATAATTGTTTAGTCAAAGATTACGTGTTCGCCTGGGTGAAGATAACCTTTTAGCATTGAGACTGTGTACTAAATTGTATTGAAATACCCTACAAAGAGATTGTAAAGAGAGAGTGTAACCTGACTTGCTTCTGATACTCTACTCACAAAACATTTATGAAAAACAGTGATGAACAAAAAAGTAATGTCGATGATTAAATTAGTCATATTTCCCATTAAAAAACTCCACCATCTTTTTTTCAAGAACTGCCTTGTTTCGTTACGATCAACATATAAACCTTTCAGCTAGAACATGATAACCATGGCGTGCAAGAAAGAGACTTTACCATACAGTACTGTTTTGAATACCTCTTTTGTCTTCAGGTAAACAATCTATGCAGATGATGAGGATGATGATGCAAAAGATAAAGACATTTTAGAATATTTACAAGTTCTGTATAATGTTTGAAATAACCTTCGGATTCCGTGGATGTATACCTGATGAGTCTTTTCCACAAAACCCTAAATGTACGTTTCAAAATACAATACAGTATTGATGATAATTGATGATGATATGTTTGGTACGAATTTTTTTGATATAATTTTAAATTTATGTTTACCTCTATTTTGTTTATTGTTGCATAACTTAAAGTAGATTTTCAAAGTGTGCAAATATGTTTATCAAATTTCTGTTGCAAAGTTCCGATTTCGGGAATAAAATGGGCAACAATTTTAACTGAACCTGTTCAAGACTGGAAGAAACTTTACACTATTCCTTTAAAATGTTGCCTTTCTACGAAACTTCGTTATTTTCAGTTCAGAATTTTACATCGAATACTAGGTGTCAACAAATATATCACATTATGGGCATAGCTAATTCTAATTTATGTATATTTTGCTTATCCTCTGTTGAAAGTAATTCACACTTGTTTTGGGAATGTCCTGTCACGCATCAATTCATTCAAGACTTCCAAAGCTCTATCCTAAACAATGAAGTGCTTTTGAATAAAAATTGCTTTCTGTGTTCTTTAATTTTGTCATTTTATATGCAAAACACTGTATATTCTCTGCGAAATACAAAAGGGAACGGCTATCTTCAAATTCTTTTAAGAAGATGCTTAAACGTTGTTATGAGGTTGAGCGGGTTCTTTCTATCAAACGCAATAAATTCGTTGTATTACTTGATAAATGGAGACATGTGCAACTGTTGTAATTTTTGTTTTACCAATATGTCACAACATGTACTTTGTTCAAATGTCTTGTTTGGTTCTTGCTCAAGAATGATTGAATACATTTTCTCTGGAAAAAAACAAACAAAAAAACACCACCAACCATAATAATAGTTTATAATAATAATTGTTGTCATTATTATTGTCTTACTGCTGCTAATACTACTCCTACTAGGAAGAAGGAGGGGAAGAGGAAGAATCTTATCGTTTATTTTCTGTTTTATCGAGGCATACAAATGCACAGAGAGGTAAAAGGGGTAAAAGTAAGGCGATGAAGAGGGGGAGAGAGGGAGAGAGAACGAGAGGGGGTAGCCTATGGCTGGGTTCAAATTCAGTTCTCTTTAATTTATTTGACCCAGTACTGATGATCATAATTTTATCTACCATGTGATTGCCATGTGTACGCCACACCGAATAGCACCTCAGATTTGTTTATTGTCGTAAAGAACTTATTGGCATGCACTCAGTAGATTTTCATCATGTGTTTGATCTTGTTATTGAAAACAAGGTCAAACACATCATCATAATATACAGAGTGCAACTAAAAAATTATTAACAACAATTGAAATTTCTTTCAGGAAGCCTAACAATAAAAGCTGTTTTTGATTCAAGTATTATTGAAGAGCAGCAAAGGCGAACGCGATTGTCGCTACAATTCAGAAATCGTTGCTCGCGTTGCTTTTCTCTCACAATTACTGTGAGATATCAAGCTACATAGAACTATATGATCGACAAAAAGATATTGTCTTGGAAACAGTCAGAAACATTGGAACTTGAATGAATAAAACATAATGCAAATGAATAAGACTAGAATGAATAGGACACAAGATCTTTTTCACCATTTAAATCATTCATCCAGTACCAAATACCTAAGCAAAATTCGAGCCAGGTGCATTTAATGGTTAGCGTCAAGACAATGATTCATGACAATTGTCAATTGTCATGATTTTATCGTCTAGACGTATTGCAAAAGATAATCAGGAAAATAAGGATCAGAATGATAGCTCTACTTCTAGGCCTACTTTTACATGTATTATACTACACTACTGCCGTTGTAGATTATGCTGATAATACAGATGAACATAAAATATGTTTTATACGCGCCCGGCTACGAGCCGTCACTTAGTGAAAACAAAATCAAAGCGTTCTATGTAATTTGTGTTTTCACGAAATGACGGTTGTGTTAAAAGTTCAAACAGAGGAATAAAAAAGCAGCTACAGAAAGAAGAAAATTGACACTATCTAGTAGTTCGAGTTATGCTATCTGTTCATCAATGAACATAAAGTTTTGCCGTATTTAGTGTCCATTAAGGGAATTTCATCCACGAGAGAAAAATCCCGTATGTTTAACGCGCGCGGCTACGAGCCGTCACTTCGTGGAAAAAAAAATTACAGCGCGTCCTTGAATTTCGTGCTTTCACGAAGTGACGTTTAT